GAGGCTATGTATGGTGATGACCCTATAGTATTAACCGATCTTAAAAGTGAACTGGACTATGTAAAGAATCAAATGGAGACACGAGAAATAATTGACAGTCTTAAAGAATCCTTAGAGGAATATGGGGAAGCTATTAATAGGTATAATAGACTTAAGGAGCAGGAAAAAGCCTTTACTGAGGGTAGTGATGGTACAGTGGACATTTCAGGAAGCACAACCCCCCTAAGAGTCAACTTCGTGGAAGACCCAAACAATGTACTTCCAGATGTGCTAGATGCATTCAACGAATCATTTGACACTGATTGGGATGAAATAGAAGCCCGCCTAGAGAAACTAAATAAGATTTCAACAGCAAATAAAAAGAGAGACTTTGAAAACCAAGTGGAGCGTGTTCAAGCTGTCGCAAGAGTTATCAAGGGTAAGGAAGGACTAGTACTAGACCCTAAGAATAGATACGTCAGGGAACTCATAAAACGATCATCTGTAAGAACACTCAATGATGGCACAGAGGTGTTGGTATTTAGAAGTGAACAAGGTATTGACAAAAGTGGAACACAAATAATGAAACGTGGTAAGACCAGTAAACCTGTGTACTCCAAGAACTCTATTGCATTAAGAGAATATAAGGAACTTATAAAGAAAATAAAAGAGGTACCTACGGATGAACCAATTTATGAGGATACTAAAGAAGAGCCACAATTTAATACCAGTGGTGAGGAATACGCTGACCGTGAGGACATTGAGTTAATAGATATAAGTGCAAAACTAGGAGACCTTCCAGGGCTAACAATGCAAGAAAACAATGAACTGAGAGGTGTTCTTAACCCACCTGATGGATCAAGCATAGAAGGCAGAACAGGTCCCAATGGAGCGTTACAAATCCAGGCTGACTACTTTAATGAAGCTATTGGTGAAACCGTGGAACGCGCCACATCTGCGGAAGGTACAACTGAGTATAATTCCCTCCTAGAAAGAATTGACAGTTTGAAGGAAGCCAGGGATAGGACACTAGAACAGAGAACTGTAGAGGAAGCAAGAGAGGCACAGTTGGAAGATATTTCTAGATTACGCAGATTTATAGACTGGGTAGGAAAGGAAAAAGTGGGACTTGTAGGGATAGCAGTGTCAACAGCTAGTTTAATTACAGCCTTATTAATCCATGCTAGGGGAGCCATTGTGAAGACAGCAAAAGCCACTGGTAAAGTAGCAAAAGCATTAGCAAATTTAGCAAAGAAAGCAGGACCAATTCTAGTTCCAATTCTGAACACCATTGCAACGGCGCTATCGTGGGGAGCCAAAGGAATTGCTTGGTTAGCGTCACACTTATGGGTACTAGCTATAGCTGCAGCCTTAATGGTATACAACTATTACACAAAGTAAATTAGCTATGGAGGAACACCAAGAGGAATACGATGACCAGAAAATGGAGGAGTTGAAGGAAAAGTATCCGAACTATGAAGAAATGGATATAGAAACTTTAGATAGCGAATTACCGTACCTTGACAAGGATCTTAGGGAAAGCGAAACTACTGAGGAGACCCAGGATATTAACGAGGAAATTAATTACGTACAGGAACTGAGGAGGAGAAAAATATTGAGTGAAGACCTTACGAGAGAGCAATTAGCTGAGAAATTCCCTGACCTATCTAATCTGTCATACGATGATCTAATGGATAGGGGAGACAGACTGTTAAATGAAATAATACTATCCAATTTGGACGAAGACAGTTTCAAAGAAAAGTCGGAAGAACTGAGATACGTCAGAATGCTATCAAATGATTACCAAAGAGAGTCAAACTTAAATAAACTTCTCAACTTAAGAGATAAGGTGAAAAAGAGGGATCTCATTAAACGGGATGATCGTAGTAGACTGCAGAGGCTCAGGTTATGGGCAAGGGAGAATGCGGGCATCTTATCAGCTGTTCTAATTTCCTCATCAGCTGTAATCATAGGACTGGTAGCATCAACTAGAAACATATTGTGGAAAGTAGGTGACACAACAGAAAAGCTCGATAAGCGGATCAGTGAGTTGGTAAACCACCAAATAGAACTACCACCTGTATTCCAGAAGATAGCTGATGGAGTAGAGTTAGCAGCGGATAATATATGGATAATCATTGTTTGTGCAGCAGTAGTTTTACTATACAAATACAACTAAACATTACATATTGTATACAAGTATGAATACCACAGAAAGAGAACTCCAGCCTGGCTTCAGGAGGAGCCGTATGACATCCGTAAAAGGTCCCAGAACTAGAAGTGTTGTAACTTTTAATCCAACAACTATTAGCCCAGGTGAAGAGCTGTAAATTAACATCCCCAAGCTAAAGCCTGACTCTTATTTAGTCCCAGGATCACTTGCACTATTATTTGACTTCAAAAATTCCAATACAAAAAGCCGCTTTAATTTAAAATAACAACCTATCTAAGTTGATAGCTAAACGTCTTCAGATTAAAGTAGCAGGTGAAACAGCTTATGACTGTTCAGGAGAGAGTTTGTACGAAATATACAAAGATCTATGGCTAACTGTTGGTGACAGAAGTAAGATGACAGAACAGGGTCTTGCAAGTGAAAATCTCAGGAAGCTGATATCAGGTGATGACTTAGGAGTAAAAGTTGGTGATGCCAATAAAGTAGCAGATGCACTTCTCCACAGTGTGTACGGTTCTAAGCTGAGAAAACCTATTGATAAAATAATTGCAGACCATGGACTCTACACACCGTTCTCCATGAATAACAATCCTATGTACATCCTCACACTCCCGCAATCGGATGAGATTATGACTGCTCAAGGAGGTGAAGCTAAGGGTAATTATAAACTTGATAATCTTGAGCTAGAATACGAGACCATTGAGAATGACGCCCTAGCAAGTGAAGTATCAAGGATGTATTCAACAGGCCGCTCACTGTCCTACAAACACGTTACACTTATGCGTACAAGTAATTGGGACAAAGATCTTACCATTGTCAATGAGAACATTAATATCCCCAGAAAGAGCATGTCAGCAATTGTCCTTCTATTTACCAATAGAGTGAGAACTGATTCTGAAGAATATATTTACCCAAATATTGATAAAGTGAACCTGACCATTGAGTGTGTGCCTAATGCAGTTTTCTCCCAAGGACTTCATAAAAATAGGTTCTTCGAAGAGGCAAAAAGATTATTCTGCCCTATGTGTGAGAAATCAATGGCTGACGAATTTATGTCCATCAGTAAGTTCTTCAGCAACGGTTTCGCTGTAGTAATCGACCTTAGGTCAACACAAGATGATACCACTGGTGGACGCAAGAAGATTGTTAACACACAGTCGGGAGTACTCCTGGAAATCAAAAAGAGAGCCACAACAGCTGACGTTCAGTGCAACATTTTTGTTGTATCAGATGCTCTCCTTAACTTTGCCAATAGAGATCTATCAAGTATTCAATACTAATGGTAAAGCATAGAGATGCAACAACTTAAGCCCCCATTCAACATGCTCATAGTAGGAATGACTGGAAGTGGTAAGACTCAGTTCCTACTTAATATGTTAGAAACAGAGTACAATAAAGTTTTCGATTACATTATCATTATATGTCCAACCATAGAGTGGAATATGACTTACATTAATTGGACTCATATTAGTGACCACGGAGTTATACAAATTCCATGCTCGCAAGAAATGATCGATCTTGTTCTCAAGGCAGTGTCCACCATATTCCGCGGTACTCAAACTCTAATTATAGTGGACGATTGTGCGGCAAGTCAAGATGTAAAGAAAAGAGTCTCCGAACTGGTGCGCCTAGCTTTCTCCGCAAGACATTACAATTTATCTGTTATTGTAATTACCCAACAACTGTCCTCAGTAGCAAAGCCCTTTCGAGAAAACATTTCCAGGCTAGTTACATTTTACAACCCTAGTCGCAGGGATATGAAGGTCATAACCGATGATTACCTAAGTGGCGTTCCTCAGGAGACAATTACAGAGATTACAAAAATATTAAAAGATGAGAAGTTCACCGCACTGGACGTACTACTTATTCATCCTTACACATACACTGTTAAACTAAACACCGCGTAGAATATAGATGATGGGAACTGAATCTGAGGAAGAAATATTTGAAGCTGTAAGAGAAGTAGAGGAGGCCGCAAAGGTGCCGCATAAAAAAGCCAGAAAAACTAAGTCTACCGCAGATAAGTCGCAAACTGAACATAAAAGGGACAAGCTTATAGAGCTATCGAGGGATGGTGTAATAGAAAAGTCCGCAAGTTTTATAAGAAAGTCTAACAAGGATGTTGTAGATAGACTGTACCATGAGTACGAAAGCCAAAGGATGTCATGTGCAAGTGACTTCTTATCAACACTTATTATTTCAAAGTTTGCTTCTGTATTAGGAAGTTTTGGTGCAGTGGAATCATCAGAGAAACTGTCAGAGGAACTACTTAGTGACAAACTTTTGAAGGACGACGTAGCATATCTAACCAGAACGATATCACCCAACATCCCATTCATAGGCCTAATATCTGGTGGCTGTACAACAGCTAAACATGTAGTTGCCCATAAGTGGAATAAGAAGGAGGAACCTGAGGAAGTGTCCGAGGAAGCTAAACATATCTTATTAAATACAGAATGTCGCAGTACGACTGGGGAAACGCCTGGGACGGAACAGAATTCGAATCAATTATTGACGAGTTGATTGAGAAAACTGACAGAAACAAGGAACAGCTAGACAAAATTCAGGCAACCCTGGATTCACTAGAGAGCGATCATAATTCCCTCAAGAATAAAATAGTAGGTCCACTAAAATATGAATTCGAAGCTTTTAAGGTTGACACAATTAAAACAGTTGTAAAGATATACAAGAATCTAAATGAAATGCAGTAGGCAAAATAATTTTTTGTAGTGAGTGCCCCAAACTAGCGGGAAGCAGCTGGGTGGGAAGAGGGAATGCTGCTTCAAAATAAATCAAATTAAATTGATGAATAAAATAGCCTAGAAAATTTTTACACATATAGTATAGGGAAGATGGAGAAATTATTTAGGAACCAGAAGTTGAATGTTAGTGTGAGAACCGTTAAGAGTGGTGAGGAGATACTGTTTTATGCAAAAGATGTGGCGGAATCACTAGGGTACGCGGATCCAAAAAAGGCAGTTCAGAAACTAGTTAGGAAACAGAATAAGGTAAGCGTAGAGGAGCTCCGCATGGGGGGCGATTCGCCCCTCTTCGAAAAATGTCACCCACAAACGATCCTGCTATACGAACCAGGTTTGTACCAGCTAATATGTAGCTCAAGGCTTCCAATAGCAGAGGACTTTTAGGATTGGGTATTTAGTGAGGTACTTCCATCGATCCGTAAAACTGGCTCATACGAATTACCACTTTACTGTAATCAGATGAGGTTAATTAACGAAACGGACCTTCATTATGCTGTTGTAGAACACCTAAGAAAGTACCACCCAAAGACTCTAATCCTACCGGGACTAGGAGAGTACCAGGATTCATCAAAAAAGAGATGTGACGCCTGGAGGAAGGGATATTTAGGTGGACAACCCGATCTCACAATAGTAACTCCAAGTAATGGTTTTAATGGATTCGCAATAGAACTTAAGACCCCAAAGGGTACAGGTGAAGTCAAAGATAATCAGGTAGCATGGATAAGGGAGTTAGGCAAAAACGGATTCCGGACATTAATATCTAACGATTACACAAAAATAGTGTTAGACATAGAGGAGTACTTTAGAGTTGATAAGACAAGGAAACTTCTAGATGAAATAAAGAATCTTAAGATAAAGCGTAAGACATTAGAGTCTAGTAAGTGTAAGGAAGTTGTAATTCAAAGAATTGGTTACACAGTAGGCAAGTACTAGAGTGAAAAAGGGAAGTGCGGGAAGGAAACTTAAAGAATGCTCGGCAAAATTTGTTGGGCATTTTTTAAGCAATCCCGTCATACTGCCTAGTAGATTTGAGACATCTTGCAAGTAAATTTAAGTTATCTCACCAGTTATCTCACCAGTAGATTTAAGTTATCTTACCAGTAAATTTGAGACATCTTACAAGTAAATTCAAGTTATCTCACAAGTAGAATTCAAGATATCTCATAAGATAAAACCCAGTTAAACCTAAGGTATCTTACAAGTAGAATGACAGATAAACCTGAGCAAATTCAAGGACCAGTAACAAGTGAAAAGAAGAAGGACCCTAGAAGAGTAGAGGCAGGGAAACGACTAGCTGCAATCAGTAAAATAGCAAAGGAGAGGAAAAAGAAACTAGCTGAACCTAGGGAGTCACCTAGTAATGACAGCATGATTACCTACATAGGAGTGACCATTGCATTGATATCCCTAGTGCTAGCATATAAAACACATCAGAGGGAAACTAGGGAACCAAAACCTGAGTACATCCCTAAAACTGTAGAAGTAACTAAGAAAGCTGATGAGTTCAAGTTAGATTCACTTGAATGATACACTAAACTTATCATATATTATAGCAAGATGAGTAAAGAATCAAAGATGACTAGGGAAGTGTACGACGCAGTGTTACTTACAGCAGGAGCAGTTGGTATATCAATGGCATCAAAAAAAATATTGAAAGAACCCCTAGGTACCCCAAAGAATGTAAAGGGAATGGTGAAGTTAGCTGTTTCAGTTAGTCTTTCATCTCTACTGGTCTCTTACTTGAAAGAAAAGAAGTATCTACCAGATGATCCATTCAAAACCTAGGTAAAACTATACAATGGCTGGAGCAGTAGCAGGAGGACTCTTTAATGCATTTGCATTTGCGGGAGCAGGATACTTATTTAAAATGTTTGACAGAATGGATACGCTGAGGAAGCTCATAGACATAACAAGGCAATGGAAAACTTAACAGCTGAAAGAGAAAAGTACCTCGAAGAGGTCACCGATAGGAGAAATAGGATTGCTAAACTGAAGTCAGAACTAGCTGAGGCAAATAGTAATATCAAGTCAACAAACCAGTCATTAGAACTCGTTAGAAGAATCAATGAGTTAACACGTAAGGCTATGCCAAGGAAGCCGCAATTAAGCAATCACTACAAACCTAGCTCTGAGATGGAAGAATATATGGCAATCTTTGGTTTAATCACAGGTGGAGCAGTGGGTGGGTTAGCTTATTTAATTCTCTAAAAAATGCCACAAAAAATTTTTACACTAATAGTATAGAAGAATGGATTGGCTTCAAATGGTAACACCTGAGGAAGTGGTAGTTCTGGGAAAAAGGGTAGACACAATAGAAGAGCTAGAAGCTGCAGTCATGAAGTACGTTGAACTAAGAATAATAAGAAGGCGATTAAATACACCCCGAAAATCAGCAGAAAATTTTCACACTAATAGTATAGGGAAATGGAATGGTTGCAAATGGTAACACCTGAGGAGATAGCATATGTAGGTAAAAAGGTAAATACACTGGAAGAGTTAGAGGCTGCTGTGAGGAAGTACGCAGAGAGTAGAATAAAGAGAAAACACACATACGATCCAATATGTAGTGAATGTGGGAGCAAGTCTATTGTAATGATAGATGGAGCAGATACATGCACACAGTGTGGTACAAGTGATATGAATAACTTCTCATACTACGTTAGTTACAACTACAACAAGGACGACTATCTGAAAAAGAAATCTCATCACAATAGAGTCCGTTGGTTTGAGAGACACTTATTCGAGCATGTTGCTTCTAGGGATAGGGACATTATAAGGGAGCAGTTTAGAAGTATAGTAAGATGTATACAAAGACTTAGACTGCAAAGGGGGCGCAATATAGTTAGATACAAGTTTTACCTACTGAGGATAGCCAGCATGAACGGCATCACCTGGAGGAACCCTCCTGAGGACATTAAGACTCAAAGAATTGTGGACATCCTTGAGGATAGGTTGTATGGGAAAGTTTTTGTTGAGCTTGGATGGAAACCTGAGAAGTGTGAATATTATAATAACTGGAAAAGTAAAAACACTTAAAGAAATATTAATATAATTAAATAATAAATTAAATCAAAAATAAAAACACTTAAAGAAATGTTAATATAACCAAATAACAAATGAAATAAAAAATAAAACCACTTAAAGATATACTGACATAATAAATTATGGAATTAAATCAAAAATAAAAACACTTAAAGATATACTTATATAATAAATTATAGAATAAAACAATAAATTAAATTAAAAATAAATTCGAAATAAATTAATAATTAAATAACCTAATTTTTTTTTACACATATAGTATAGAGGAACTGACAGAAAAACATGGCGAGTTATTTTGATATGAACGAATTCAGCGTAGAACAGCTTATGGCTCTCAATAGTATCATAGATAGTGACGATGATATAGATATAAGGGTGGAGGACATCATGGCTGATAGAAACTACAGGATTGCACCTGATGATAAGGGCAAAAGTCCCTTTGAAGGAGAAAGACAATTCGTAGATGAAGTTGGCCGTGATATGGAGGTAAAGAAACCTAGACGCCTTCCTTTGAACTATAAGGGAAGAAGAGGAATTATGCCTACATGGAAATACTCTGACAGGCAAAAGGCAAAGGCCTTACTTGTAGAGGAGGCGTACCAAAATCTACTAGCAAGAGGCGTTCAGGGATTACCACCAACGATGGGAGGAAGATGGCGCACAGATGATCCCCAAGTAAACGAGGAAATCAAGAGGATTGAAAATGAAAGGAATCCTAAGACAAATCGCCCCAAAAGTAGACCACCAAAGGCAAAAACTGACTCTGAAGTTAAGGTTCCTAAGAAGAGAGGTAGACCACCAAAGGCAAAGTCTGATGTCGAAGTGAAGATTCCTAAAAAGAGAGGTAGACCACCAAAGGTAAAAACTGACTCTGAAGTTAAGGTTGCTAAAAGGAGAGGTAGACCACCAAAGGCAAAGTCTGATGCTAAGGTCAAAAGGCAAACTGTAGCTGAAAGATTCCTGAGCCAAAGGAAGGTAAAACTCTCAGTGCCTTCAGATAGTGTCATAACCCCAACAGGTCCAGGTAAGTTCACAATTCACGTGGATCTTAATAAGAGACCTGTGAGGAAAGCTATATTTTTGGAAACTGATGAGTTACAGATAAGCAACCCAAATTCGTTCCCCAAGCTCCATGGAAACCTGTACCTAAGCCTAGAACGGTACTTCCTAGGGAAAGACCTGTGCCGAAACCCAGGACTAAGCTTCCTAGGGAAAGACCTGTACCAAAACCTAGGACTAGGAAACCAGTGTCTCCTCCTAAGGTCCGTAAGCCTGTAAGAGTGTCGAGGGAAGTCAAGGAGCAGCCTTTTGTGGTTACACCAGAGGAGCGTGGGGTCGATCCATTCGGAACAGACCTTGAAAAGCCATTCCACAGGAAAATTGAAACAGCCGCAAATGGAGCCGCTGTGACTTACTCGATAACTCCTCATTATATGGACCCTCTGGACCAGATGACTGCAAGCAGACAGGTAGTGAGAGGAATACTTGTAAACGAGTTAAAGAGAATGGGTGGGTTGAAGTACACAGAGACCCTGAAGGTGAGAATGTCAAAGGAAATTGGTGACGGGAAAACCAAGAAGGACTCAGTCTACTTCAAATCTAAAACTGGTACTGCGACTAACTTCGAGGATATTGAAAGTACTGCTGCTCAAAACCAACTGACAATATTGTCCAGAATTGAAACCTTCCAAAACTAAGGTTCAAATTGGATTATACTCAATATTTAGAGTCATTATGTGAACATTGCAATGTATAAACCGTTAAAGGGTAGTTCATATATAGAACTTCCTAAGGACATTAGTAATTCAATGTGTGGGCTCATCAATATGAAGAACAATGAAAACCTGTGTTTCCTGTGGAGTCATGTGAGACATCTGAATCCTAAGGCTAGAAGAGCAACCACTATCACACAAAAAGATAGGGAATTCATAACAAACCTGGACTATGACGGTATAGACTTCCCCGTGAAGATAAGTGACATTGATAAGATTGAGAGGAAAAACAGTATCAGCATATCTGTGTTTGGTTATAACGGTAAGAAACAGTTTTATCCCATAAGAAATTCTAAGACCAAATATGAGGATCATATGGAACTTCTACTCCTAGGTGACGGTGAAGGTAACAACCATTATGTGCTTATAAAGGATGTAAATAGGATGCTCTTCCGTGTAAGTAAATATACACATAAGAAGCACTTATGTCTGCACTGTCTTCATAGTTGTGTGAGTGAAGAGGTACTGGAGAAGCATAAGGAAACATGTCTGGAGGTAAATGGAACTCAGGCGGTAAAGCTTCCCAAGGAAGGTACAAAAATCAAGTTCAAAAATCACAGGAACTCAATGCCTGTACCGTTTGTGATATACGCTGATTTTGAGTCAATACTAGTACCAGAGGAGAGAAAAGTGGAGTCAGAGAGTGTGGAGGATAAAAGTAGTACGGACCTTTACCAGACACACAAGGCTTGTAGTTTTGGTCTGAAGACTGTCTGCCACTATGATGATAAGTACTCCGGTGAGTTTAAGAGTTACGTTGGAGAGGATGCTGCATTGGTCTTCCTAAAGACTGTATTGAAAGAGTCCTTCAGATGTAGAGAGATGGTCAACAATATATTCAAGAAAAAGATGGTAATTACAAGAAACTGCTCAATATGTGGTAACGACCTTGGTGAGGATAGGGTAAGGGATCATGACCATGTAACAGGAATGTACCGTGGAGCTGCTCATAATATATGCAACCTGAAGTACAGAATTACATGGAAAGTACCTGTGGTCTTCCACAACCTGAGAGGTTACGATAGTCATCTGATTATGCAGGAAATTGGTAAGTTCAAGATGGATGTTAATGTGATCCCAAATAATATGGAAAAATACATCTCATTCTCACTGGGTAAGAATCTGGTCTTCATAGACTCTATACAGTTCATGGCTTCTTCACTGGAAGCACTGGTGAGTAACCTTTCACCTGAGGACTTCAGGATAGTAGGTAAGAGGTGGAAGGGTGAGGACTTCAATCTAGTGACACAAAAAGGAGTCTTTCCATATGAGTTCTTGGATAACATTAGCAAGCTCGATACAGAAGGCCTTCCGAGTAGGGACAAGTTCTACTCATCACTGTATGAGTCAGAGGTGAAGGAAGAAGATTACAAGAGAGCTCAAAAAGTATGGGATCACTTCAAGATGAAAACCATGAGAGACTACCACGACCTCTACTTGGAGACTGACGTTCTTCTACTAGCTGATGTATTTGAAAACTTCAGGAGAACATGTCTGGAAAGTTACGAACTTGACCCCGCACATTACGTGTCAGCACCTAGCCTAAGTTGGGACGCTTTCCTGAAAAGGTCAAATGAGGAAATAGAACTTGTAAGCGATATGGACATGTTTCAGTTCTTCGAGAAGGGTATGAGGGGTGGTACAAGTTATATTGCTCATAGACACTCAACAGCTAATAATAAGTACATGGAGACGTATGATGAGTCGTCTGAGGACAAGTACTTGATGTACCTCGATGCTAACAATTTATATGGCTGGGCAATGTCACAATCACTTCCTAATGGAGAGTTTAAGTGGGTTGAGAATGTCGACGGTATAAATCTGGAGGATTACCTGGAAGACAGCAAAAGAGGTATGGTTCTAGAGGTTGACCTGGAATATCCACAAGAACTTCACGATCTACATAACGGTTATCCCCTAGCACCAGAGAGTGAGGAAATCAGTGCCTCTATGTTGTCAGATTATGCAAAGAGTATTGCTGAGAAATTCCAACTGACAATTGAAGGAGTAAGAAAACTGGTAACTTCACTTGGTCCCAGGAAGAACTACGTCTTACATGCACGCAATCTTAAACTGTACACAGACCTTGGGATGAAACTCACGAAGGTCCATAGAGCGGTTACGTTCAAGCAGTCTCCCTGGCTTAAGGACTATATAGACTTCAATACAAAGAAAAGGTCAGTAGCTCGTAACACGTTCGAAAAGAACTTCTTCAAGTTGATGAACAACTCAATCTACGGAAAGACTATGGAGAATCTTAGGAAAAGGGTTGATGTGAAATTAGTGTCCTCCAAAGACGACCTCCTAAAACTGACGGCGTCACAGTGCTTCCAGTCACATCGAATCATGAATGAGAATCTTGTAGTGGTAAAGCGAATGAAAGAAGTTCTAACGCTGAATAAGCCGTGTTACGTAGGAATGAGCATCTTAGACTTATCTAAGACTTTAATGTATGATTTTCACTACAACACCATCAAGAAGGAGTACGGTAATAATTCAAGGCTACTGTTCACTGATACTGACAGTCTAATGTATGAACTGAAAACAGATGATGTCTATGAGGACTTCAAGAGGATCGGTGAGGAGCAGGATTGCTGGAATAATTCAGATTACCCAAAAGATTCTCCGTACTACTCAACTCACAACAAGAAGGTTATAGGTAGGTTTAAGGATGAAGCTGAAGGAGTACCTATAATTGAGTTTGTTGGGCTGAGGTCAAAAATGTATTCCTATGTGAAGGAAAACGGTGGAGGTGGAATGACTGCTAAAGGAGTCAAAAAGTATGTCATCAGAAACAAGCTCACTCACGAGAACTTCAAGAATGTAATTAATACGAAAGGTAGGATGAGACATAATATGAACACAATCAGAAGCGTAAAGCATAGAATTGGAACTTACGAATTGAAGAAGGTTACTCTGAGTTGCTTCGATGATAAAAGGTATCTTTTGGAAGATGGAGTTACCAGTTATGCTTATGGTAACAAGAATATAAAAAATAGTGACTGAGAAGTTCCCACAGAGTAGAAAGTAATAATCCTAAAGGGTAAATAAGCAGGAAGGGCCCCCTGCCTTGTGTACCCCCAAGGAGGAAATAAAAGTTGTCGAAGAGGCTTTGGAATAGGAAGGTTGGACGATATTGGGAAAGTGTAGGATAATCGTGCTAGAGTCTCAGCTGGACTGGTAAGGTGATCCCGAAGCTTTGAGATAAGTTAAATGAAAAAACAAGAATAGCAGTTTCACATTCTAATTAAATGGACCAACCGTTAATTTTAATATAATAAAAATATATAATAAAAAATAAATTTTTACCGAAGAAAAAAACTAGTGGTCTCGCTCAAAAGCTAGTGGTCTCGCTACGCTAGTTGCTATACTACTATATCTGAATCTTCCATTACTAAACAAAGGCGGGCCATTCCATTTAATGCAGAAATGTCTCTTAGTTTATTTATTCCAAACGAACTCAAGAAAGCAAGCAGTTATGTGTATTTTATGAAATTAATAGTTACGGGAACCACTGAGTATTTTTATAAAATACAAAAGGACAGTAACTACTTTCCGGGAGCAAACACTAAGTAAAACATTTTGGAAAGGGTGTTAAATTAAACATACAGGACTCTAAGTTCAAGCTAGTTTTAAATTTACTATACATTTCAAAGTATAAAAACATCTAGAATCGTTATGTGTGTGATGTTAATCTGACTGTATATCCACATCGGGCAAGCTTGAAAAATATGCCTGACCACGGTGGGAATAGAACCTACGTAATTGTATACTGTGCTCTTGCTTTAGCTGGGTGAAAGCTTTGTGTTCTGTTTTAGAATTTCTTTTAAAACTTTTAGCATATGTTACGACAGATAAGGCAATAATAAAGCATACAAGTAAGACCCAATATATTGCTAAAGTTTGTACCTTAATACGCGCAGTCAAATTTAAATTAACGGAATTTATCTGACAAACACTTGGTCTGGATGTTTGTTTATATGAGGGGACAAACGGCTGAGTCAAATTTGCAACATTTCCGCTTATTAAACTTCATCTTCGCTTCATATTTTCTTTATTATATCAAAAGAATCATTATATCAGTGGATAACAACAAAGCTTTTACCAGTTGCATAAAGATTTGGTAACTTCCAGTTTATAATAATTTGAACTGAAGTTCTATTATTTTGTCCGTTGGCGCTGGATTTTAAATTTTTCCGGCGTCTTTATTGTGTTTCCTTGGCAACAAGTATATACGTTTGTCGCAGTTATTTTATGAACTATTTTGGATTTCCTCGCGGGAACTTATTTCTGGTGACCCTTTACTTCATTTTGGTTTATTGTTTGCCTTGTTTCTTCGTTTAGTTCTCGAATTATTGAACTTTAGCAATTTCATCATCTGTTTGGACATCGTGAACTTTTGACCTGTTCAAATTTTAGAGTTCTCTTGGGGATTTTCCCTGTTTTATCTATATCAAATTCAGTTGGCCATTACATGTGCAATCGTCGTACGATGCTACACTGGTGTTCTGCACATTTCTAATTGGACTTTATTTCGTTGACTTTCTCACGACATGCGGCTCAACTCAAGCTCAATTAAATTATGCTTCCTCCCAATGCAATGATTGTTGTCATGAATATGCCCAGAAATCTTTGACTAATATCAAATTCAAACGGCGTAAAAAATTTCTGGCTTCAAGATTTCGGTACTACCCTAATTCTGATGCTTCTTTTAATGTGGAACGTAATCCAGATCCATCAAACGGAAGAAAATCTAGTTCTATTACACCATCTAAACAACATGAATCGCTTACGTTTATTATGCAAAATGTATGTAGTCTAAAGTCTTTTTAACTTGATAATTTAACCAACTGTCGTGAAAATAAATTGTCATGTTTCCAAGATATTGTATTGCTAAACCAATTCGATGTCATCGCTCTCACAGAGACCTGGTTGAATAATTGCATAACCGATTATGAAGTTGTTCCAAACGGGTATCAAATTTTTCGTAAAGACCGTTCAACTGGCAAGCGTGGAGGTGGTGTGTTGCTAGCGGTGAAGGACTCTATAAGTACCGAGCCTTTCATTTTTAATTGTGAATCGATGGAATTGACAAGCGTTGTAATTAAATCTCTTTCCAAACGTGTTCTTATTGCTGTGTGTTATAGACCACCTAACGCTGATAGTGACTTCCTTCACAACTTAAAGTGCCCCTGACACAAAATTTTTTTCAGTCTATTGAAAGTACTCATTTAGTATACTGTTCTAGAGAAAGAATTTTTCGATTTCATCAAAACGAAAAAATTTTAGAGCCGTTTGAACACGCAAAATTTGGCCTTTTGGTTGGCAGGCGTCCGTGTTCGAAGGAAACTGGAGCGAACGATTTTTGTTACGTCACGTAAGTGAGTCGGCGTATATTCTGTTATTCGACTATACTAGTACAATCAACTCTCGGCGGATATATAGGTAGATTTGTGATCGAAAAAGATATGCCTTTTTACTGTGTTGCAGCTAACTGTGCCAATAAAGCATGTTTAAAAGATGGAATAAATCTACACAATATTCCATAGTTCAATGACGAACACGCGGAAGCTAAAAGACGAAGAAAAGTGTGGGTTGATTTTGTATGCACAAAGCATAAAAAAGACTTCGACTGTATGCTCGGATCATTGTAGAACAGATGATTACGAGAGGCAATTCTTTTCGTTGCCGGAGTTCGGCAAGCCTAACTATCTGAAGCTAATAAAGACTGTCAGACTGACGATGATTTGCTTTGTTTTGATCATTCAATTTGCAATTATTGTATTTCGGTTTTGCGGGCCAGCTAAAAATATAAATATTTTGTAATACCGAAATAAAAGATGCAAATCTGAAGACACAAGCTTGAAAATAACACCAGTGGCGTGGTGGCTCGAAAATTTCAAGGGGCCAGTGTTAAATTTGTCGCCCCTAACAGTTATCTCGATTCTTGCGCCCCTCCCCCCCCCCGCTCCCGTTTATCAAATACCGTGGGCGCATGGCTATGATCAAAGGGTGGACCTCCTCACTGATCTCAAAAATATGGCTGTTTGCCAGGAGTGGGATAAGCACACTGAGTATATTAAAGCAAGATTTCAATTTTCAAAAGCATATATTTGGAAAATCACGTTTCACACAATGAGCTTTGAAGCAATTTTTGTTTGAAAAATGAGAAGAATTGATTAGTGGGAGTGTACACATCGAGTGTCGTAGGCACGAGGGACCTAGAATAGTCTCGTGGCATGCTCTTCCAGAAAATTGCTTTTAAATCTAGGTCTGTGAAGTGGCATTTCCAGCATTCTGAGAACACATTTTGTGAAACAGTTTACCACCAAGTACCAATCTAAAACAACGTTAGTCAGGTTTTGTTGTAACATATTATCAACGTATATAATTATACTATAATACAATTTTTACTATCATATGCTGATAATGAGAGAACATAATTTTGTTCCAGGTCAAATGTCAATAACGTATATACTATAAGCTATAGTTTATGCTAATTGAGCATATTAATATCACATGTACAGTTTTAAAAGACAACCAATGAACCAAATGCAAGTCAAAGTAGAGCTTTTGACAGCTCGGGAGAAAGCCCTGCGAACAAGTTAATGAGATGTTCTTTGTCGCATTTGAGCAAAATTTTACGCTCGATTGACATTGAAAGCAATGATTCAAGTCTCTCCTGAACCATGGATGAGCGAATGCGAGTCTTCACTCTCTTGAGTGCAGAAAACGAACGCTCTGCAGTCGACGAACTAACTGGGATGGCCACAGCAATAGCATAAACGCGACAGAGAGTTGGATACGCATCAACCAAACTATAATCTGGGTTACACAGGAGTGAAAGAGCTTCAGAGAAAGATGGAACTTTTTTCTTCGTTTGTTTTTCAGCTTTCTTGCCGCCGCTGTCGCTCTGCTCATTATCTGACGTGCTTGAGATTTCGTCGTCGTCGTCCTCCTCCTCCTCATCATCATCATCGTTGTCCTCGCCGTCATCGCCATCATAGTCATCGTCGCCCTCGTCGTCTTCGCCGTCATCATTCTTCTTGCTCGCAGACAGTTGAACAGTCGAATTTCTCAAAAGAACGAGCAAAATTGAACAATTCGTCAGCACATCTAAACGCATCTATATTGTTATTATTGTACGTTTCACAAAAAGTGTTAAGGCACGCTTGGAGATCATGTGCGGTTTTGAAATTCTTCACAAGTTGTGGGAAACGGCTTGGAGCAAACAACGAAAAAGCTTGGAGCAAGGGTTGGTTTTTCTCAAATCGATTCTTCAATGAATTTAAGATCGTGTCCACAGAAACGTAAAATGTGTTACGTTTCCAGTGATCTTCTGGTGTTTCAGCAGGTTCGTCTTCGGCATTTTCATCATCCATTCGTCTTCGACGTCTGATTCTTGGTTGTTCCCAAGTCACGCTGGGGGAGTCGTGTTTTTGCTCGACGTATCTGATAATTCGCTCCGGTTGTTTACACAATTCATTGAGCTCGTCAATCGCGCTTTCAACCATACCCATGGCTTTTCCAAAATCAACATCAACGCGTTGTAAATATCGGCTTAGTGGACCAGTGGATGTCAATATTTCTCGAAAGAGGTACGCGGTAGCCAGAAACTGCTTTGTTTGAATCTGCTTCAATTAGCAATGCTCGTTTTTCGTGGGTTTCCATCAATTAAACTGTCCAACGCAACGGTTTCCAGGACACTTAAAATGCAATCATAACGAGAGAGAAGGACCTTTAGACACAACTCGCGTGAATGCCAACGAACAGTATTAAGTCTCTTTAGGGAAAGGACTTTCAGGTTCTCTTCCCGTTGGACAGCTTCGAACAAATCATAGATTCTTTGTGTCTTGCTAAAGAGAACGTACAAGGCTTCGAGGTCATTGAAGAGGCTTATTACTTGAACATCAACACTTGCAGAGTCGGACAAAACAAGATTAAGCGTATGTGCATAACAGTGGACAAAAGCAACATGTTTTCCAACTTTCTCTTTGATGATCGCTTGCAAGCCGTTGTAGCATCCGCTCATCGTCGTATGTTTTTGCTACGAGTTTACCAAACGACACACCTTTCGAGACAAGTGTTTTTGAGATTAGATTGTATAATTCCATTGCTTTTGTACCGGAAGCTCTTTTGCAAGACAAAAGGTGCTCGGAGCATTTGCCATTACGATTAACGATCCTTGCGCAAATACTAAGCTGCTCGTGGTGACTGACATCCGGTGTGGTGTCGGCTATTAATGCCCATGCTCTGCAATTACCGATTTCTTTGACAATTTGCGAGGCGATTTCTCTTCCAATAATGTTGATCACATTATTCTGCGTATCGTTGCTGAGGAAAGTTAGTTTCGAACCCCGTCCTTTGGCACCTTTTTCCCCGCCCTTTCTTCTCGACATAGCTTGTTGATTTCTAACCTTTTCAAGATGATTCGCAGTTGTTATATCGTAGGTTGACAGGTAATTCAGCGACTCTAGAAAATTTCCTTTATTTGCTTCTGGGTCATCAATTAGCGACTCTCGATGCCCTCTGAAAGCAAGTCCCTGCTTTCCCAAATGTACAACAGTGTCGACAACGCGTTCCATAATGCTGCGGTTTGCCACGACTTCTCTCTTCCGACGCAAAATTTCGGTCTTTTCTTGTTGCTTCAAGCATGAATCGATTGATCGTCCTTGCAAAAAGACAACTTGAGCAATCTTGGCATTTATGACTTTCGGACTTTTCGTGCTTTGTGATATTACTGTACTGTTTCTTCCAGTTCGAGTACCCAGCATTCGTAAAAGCATTTCCTTAGTTGTGGCGCGTGTTTTCGCCTCTTAAACATTCATCTGAAAATAGGAGACATGGGAGGCAGAATAGACAATCCTTACTTAGCGAGTATGAAAGCCATTTGCGCCTAGTCTGATCTTCGTGAATGAATACCGCCTGCGAGCAGTACCGGTTACGTTCTCCAATTTTCTTTTTTCTCTCAGATAAAACGGATTCGGGTGGCTGACATGGTTCATTTTTACAAAGCTTTTCTTTATCCTCTATTCCGAACTTCATGCCAACAAGTAACGCGGGATCATTGGTTTCATTCCCTCCATCATTTACAAAAGCTGGATTTCTCCGGAGCATGCACTGTTCAATGATGATTGTGTCTTCTTCGCCCCGATTCTGTATTGATGTATTCAAAGCTTCGTTAAGAACTGGATGTCCGGTTTCAAAGTCAGTAATTCTATCGCGAAATCTGCTGTCATTAAATTCGGCAGATGAATCAGGATCGAACTCAGATGCAGTTGCTACACCAGACACTGCAGATTCTTGCACGTCCATCTCGTCGTCCCGAACTTTCCCTTCACTAACTTCGCGCCCGCTATCAAACTCTGGAAGACTTACAGAATCTTGAACCACTTCGACCTCATCTTCTACGTCGTTTTTGTCATCCACATCACATGGCTTGTCTGGACTTGCATTTTTTATACCATCTTTTACATCTTTGCTTTCCTTTTTTTTGTCTCGTCCAGCATTTAGAGCATCTTGGTCATTACTGGAAGCATCGTCTCCATATGATGATTTGCTTGATTTTGTGAAATAGCTTTTCATGAACGATCCAAGTTTTTCGTTTTCTTCCCTCCTTGCTTTCCTTGCCTTTTTGTTCTCTGCGCCCGATTTTTTTCGTTTTTGGCTTTTGTTGGTGGTTTCCATTCTAACTGTTGCGTGCTAGTCGTGGATTGAATAATATATTTCATATTATTGCAATAATAATATCATGCAAGTTGCAGTTAATATACGGCACACAATATCAAGATTTTTACTAGTAGTATTCAAAAGTAAAATGTGCTCAAAAAAGTTTAATTTAAAGGGAAATGGCAATCAGTAATTTTTTTTGTTTTAACACAGATTTCTGATATCATGACTCCTGATGGCTGATAGCCTGATATTAATTATAAAATAACTTCATTCATATTTTATAACTCATCTTGTTTTGTTACGAACACCGTAACAAGAGGCTTATTGAGGAAATTTAGTTTTCTAAATGTATTTATTTAAACAATATACCGGCAGAGAATATATGTTAAGTATACTAACCGATTTATTTGTCTTAAGACACAGTCACACAGCTAATCACTGAAGCAACAGTCCAGCAATCCTTGCCTCCTTGGCGTGAAAAGGGCGAGACGATTGTCTCACTGGTACATATAAAACGTTCTTCTTGAGTCTTGAATATAATAACTTTAACACATGTTTCTATTTCAGCGAGCCGCCCTTATATAGTGTTTCGTCTAAAGCTATTTTAGATCGTTATATAATGTCTATAATCAGAAATTACTTGTTGTACTATTTATAGCTCAAGCTTATAATATATGCAAGCGTGAAGCTTACGCAAGCGTGACAAAGCACTAGCAGTCTAATGTAACATATCAAATATCAAAAGTCTGGAATGTTCTCATGCGTTTGGGTCTCAACATCACAATTTTAATAATCGCAAAATATATCAACCGGAGTTAATAATAATATGTCATATCATAATAATATATCATATCATATCATAATAGGGAGTAATAGATCATACTAAAATAGATCATACTAATCCGGAGGCACTTCTTGGCAATTTTAGCGCCCCACTGGCATTTCGGCGCCCCTCTTGAAACCATCGCTGAGGGGGGCCATGGCGCCCCCCCCCCCCCAGCCACCACGCCACTGTCCTGGGTTCGAGGTACGTAATGCAGATTTTGCATAATTAGTTCTTGGAATCCCTCTGTGTCGTATTTCGTTGTCGAGCTGATGCGGTTCAACGTATTACGATATAATTCACAAACTAAAAGGACTTATTTTCTGAGAATCTACTGAAAATTTTCAACAGAATGACTTCCAATACTACACAGAGAGAAATAATCGACAAATCATCAATCAAAGATCCTCACGAAAGATCCGAGGAACTATCAAACGTCGAGTTGGACGTTTCGACTGAAGAAGGACAGCTTGTACAAGCATGTACATCGACTACCGAAGGCGAAGCTACTATCGAAAGCTACATTGCTGCTGAACATCAACCCGCCATCCACATAGATCACTCTGGTATCATCATCATCATTACCGCTGGTAGCAAGGATAACAGTAATGCGTCAGAAGTCTTGGATGTCATTTCTCTGAGTAAAGAGCTAGCAAATATGCCAGACATGAATATAACTAACAATGGTGTCATTATAATTGGCGAACATATTCAGCTCAACTTTGGCGTACAGTCTAGCAACACAATTAAGGACTTGATAAGGAAGATTCAAGGTAAAACGGAGGCCTCTCCTGACCAACTACAACCTATACTTGACGGGAAAGAACTTGATGATGGTCAATCGAACAAGAACATGAAATATGGTGCAAGCAACAGGTCGGAATTTTGTCTTGTTCCCAACACATCTCAGCTTTAAACTTCGTGCCATCAAATTCGTGAACTGAAGACCAACTGGACAAAAGTATATTGTCTATTGAGAACTGTAGAAGTAGTCAAGAACTGTATACAATAGAATAGTGTAAGCAATAATCGAGATGTTTAAACAATAACCGTATGTAGAAACCCGCGTAAAAGAACCGCCATTCGGTTTGGCGACAGGCTGAAATGGATCGTATATAAACTTATATATAACAGAATCTATACAACAGATACTTTGTAAGTTAAGAGTCAGTTAAAAACTGGTTCTAATTTCTATTTCAAAAATTGCAATATATACTTCATATACTGGTTTTTGTTTCAAATTGTCTTCTAGTCCATATACTAGTGGGTTTAAGCAAGTTTTTGTCAACACGGAAGTCACCTGAAAATTGGTTATAACAAGTTTTGGCTGCATTTTGCATCATAGCACTCATGTAAGGAAGCAAAACACTTTTAAAATCTTATGTTTTGTCAAATATATATGTTTGAAGATTACCACAAACGAACGCAAACTCAGTTTTTAATCCGGTCCCCCTTCGGCAATCCAACGTTCGTGTTGACACCAGGCCTTAAAATAGTTAAAATATCGGTCGGTCAAGGACATTGACCGACCCATTCGTGAAATTGTCCGACGTAGTGAGGAAACCACCGGACATTCTGTCCGACCTAAGTGAAACTGAGGTTTATTATTGTTTGTCCGACCTGAGTGTATTTGTGTCCGACCGAATGGTAGCTTTGTCCAACATAAATCAAAATGTACCCTGGACTAGTAGTCCAGGACTAGAGGCTCGTATGTTAAATGGAAAATCAGAGTGATGTATAAAAAGTGAACTGGAAATGTTGTTTTAATGTAATCGAGGGCGGGGCGGTGAGCGAAATGGTGAAGTGGAAACCAGGCTTATTAATTGCTTATTATAAGTTGACAACGTCTTATTGCTGTTTTTGGCAAGCGAGTTAATTTGGCTTGGAAATAAGTATGAATGACGCAAATTATTTAATATTTTCACAACATTAGCCGTTCAGAATTAATACATCGTGCTGATATTAATTCGTGTCATTCAGACTTATTTCGGAGCCAAACTAAACTGAAGGTCATCGGACATCATCATACACATGTCCGACCCAAACTCACGTACAGTCATCGGACATTTTGTCAGCCGGCCCTGTAAAAGATATTTTAAGGCCTGGTTGACACAAATTGTATTGTACCGAAACGTAGCGTATTTCTTTGTTTCCTGAGCGGTAGTGTGTAACTAATGACTTCAACACAAACTACGGTATACATTACGATACGGTTGAAGTGAAAAACTGCATAGTCTCAGACCACGAACTTTCCGTTGTTTTTTGCAGTGTCACTCTGTCGCTCGTGTTTACCTGTGCTGATTTGGCCAAATAGTTTAATCAGCCAATCAGCATAAACCCGCAAATTAGGTCAAGTACATTTTCATGGGAGAGTTGTTTGCATATATAGGCGCGCTTAGAAATTTGTTTTTGAATTCATTCACGCATATGTTGCCCAATTCATATTTTTGGATAACTCGACAACTGACCTGTCTGTTAATATGACAACAGTATTTAAGTTATTTATGGCTGAATTAAGCGGTTAGCAATGAGTTAAAAACATGTGTAAAGCGAAAGCAGATTTGCATAACTATTTCTTGGAAGCTCAAGGTATCATATTTCTTCAATACAGCTGCCGAGCAATACAGGTGGATGTGTTTCAACGTATTTTGATCTATTTCACGAACGACAAAGGTTTAGTTCCTGAGAATCTACTAAAAATCTTCAACAGAATGGCTTCCGATACTTCAGAGAAAGAAATTATCGACAGTTCATTGATTCAGGATCGTAAAGAAAGATGCCAGGAATCGTCAAACGAGGGTTCGACTGAAGAAATACAACTTGTACAACATGAACAGTCTGCACGCACATCGAATAGCGAAGCCGGGGAAGCTATTCCGAAAACTCAGATAGCTCCTGAACATCATAGCAAGTTTAATAGCAATGCTTCGGAAGCCCCAGATGTTACTCCTTTGAGCGGTAAAGAACCAGCAAATATAGGAGTATGCGTGGACATAACTAACAATTTCGGTATCGTTATAGTTTGCGACAATAGTCAGATAACCTTTGAGCCTGGCAACACAATTGATGAATTAATAACGAAGATACAAAACACAGAATGCATCAATGAAGAACCGAAACCAATTACCTTTAACAGGAAACAGCTTCAAAGTCATTAATCCAATAAGAAATATAGTCGAATCAACAGATCGGAATTTTGTCAAACCAACAGATCGGAATTTTGTCGAACCAACGGATCGGAATTTTGTCTTGGGCAGACCACCGAAGACGAAGCTACTTTCAAAGTCCATACTGCTACTGAACATCAACCCATTCACATCAATAATAACTCTAGTATCGTTATCATTACCTTTTGTAGCAAGTATAACAGCAATACGTCGGTAGCCTCGGATGTATCTGCCCTCAGTGAAGAAGTAGCAAGAATACTAAACATTAATATAACCAACAATTTTGGTAACATCATTGTTTGCGACAATAGTCAAATCAACATTGATGTACAGCCTAACGACACAATTGAGATAATAACTATTCAAGATAAAAAGGATGTCTCCCTAGATCAGCAAAGGCTTATCTTGGACGGAAAACATTTTAATGGTGGTCAATCAAACATGGAAAATAGTTTAAACAACAGGTCGGAATTTTGTCAGTCTTGAGCAGGTCATCGCCCCAACAAACATTTAGTCTCATCTCATTTAAAACTAAGGTACGTGCATTCAAATTTATATAAAATATATAAACGCTCTATTGATCAGTTGTGAATTAGTTATTGCTGCGAACGAGTATAAATTTCAATCAAATGCCATTTTCTATTTTAAAGGAAACAATTAACTTATCTAGAGAATGGTTGGGCGAGGCTCGTCGATAGTGAAACTTTAGGATAACTCAGTAAATTCTTTATGTATTTCTTTAACGTACCACCTAAAGAAACAGCGTGATTAGGCGAACAAGGTAATATATATACTTTACACACGTAGGCTATTTAAAATCTTAAAAGCTAGATCATTAAATATTAGATAATTATTTATAATGCGAAGTAATGAAGTTATTGTTGTGAACCAATAATTTCAACTAAATGTCGTCTATTTCAAGGGAAACAACTTTATTTGAAACACGTGGACAGTGAAACTTTTATAACTCAATAAATTGTTGGATGTGTTTCTTCAAACGTACCACAAGAAGAAATAGCATGATTAGCCGAACAGGGTAATGTATAAATATGTTTTTACACACGAAGACTAAATAGTTATTTATAATGTTGGTATATAGTCGTATGAATATATAGTGCATATGAATGACGTAGTTTATTCAAATTAAACAGAATTGTGCGTGTATCTATTCCTCATTCAATGACTCAGTCGCTGAAGTATTATAATAAGATCGAGATGTCAAAGACGAAATCAACGAGAATCATTCCATTCAAAACTGCATTCACGCTGGCTAATATACGAAAGGACAATGAAAGGTAATAGTTAAACGGCATTCGGCACTGGCTGCCTTTGGTATCCTAAGCCAGTTTGGTGAATTCAAATATGTGCCCCACTTTTAACCCCATTTTTTCCCGCCCGTCCGTTCTCCCGCCTTGATTTTCTCGCCCGTAAGTCCTGCCCAAACCGCGGCTGCTACACAGCTAGCTACCCCACATTTCGTTGCCATCACGAATCGATTTATATTTCACTGTGAAGTCCAAATGTCGAATTGCGAATACTTAGATCGGTATTACCGAGTCATCTTATTTGCTGCTAGGATAAAAGTTTGGTTCAAATTTCAATCTCTTTGGTGAAGATACACCACAGTCCACAGAAGAGCGCCCGGCAGGTGTGAATCACTTGGGAGAAGAGTAAAGCACTGATAAGGGTGGTGTAACACATGTGAAGGTTACTGGTATCTAGGCAACTTCCCTTCCATTTTGCGAACGGGCATGCATTGGTTACAAGACTGGCTTCCCTTCAAAATAACACCTTCGGTTCGCTTCGCGCGCGCGTTTGTTTGATATTTTGTATAGGTTTTATACAGTCCAATTATGAATGGCAACATCGCAGTAAAACGACAGAAGAATATGATCACATGACAACTATGAATGGCAACATCTTAGTAAAACGACAGAAGAATATGATCACATGACAACTATGAATGGCAACATCGCAGTAAAACGACAGAAGAATATGATCAGATGACAACTATGAATGGCAACATTGAAACGACAGAAGAATATGATCAGATGACAAGAGTTTGCTTTTAACCTCCAGGAGCGTTGCTGCAGCATGGGATGGAGAACACGTTCCAGACTTTCCCCCCGGGTTTTTCCTGGTTTTCGTGTCCGGCTCAGCACAGCAACTTGGATAGGCAAGACTTGGTTCTTTGGCATGGATAGAACATGAAAAAGTTAACGTTTCCCTGTAAAATGTAAACTGAGGCATGGGGCGGTTTATATTACCGGTTAATATATGCCCTAAAAGGAATATTATAACGTTATATACACATTATTTGAGTAAATCAGTTAAACAAGAACAGTGACAAAAAGGAAAGTTGTTTAAAAGAAATGTCAGTTAAATACATCTGTAAGATGTACAAAAATAAAACAATGTATACGCAATGTACTATTAAACGATCACGAGATGATCTCGAAAACAATTAATTGCAGTATTTTTCCACAGTAGGGAGATAGCAGAGTTTTCCTGAGTACAGTCGAATCTCTATTAAATGGTTACCCTCGGGCCGGGGCTCGCTATTGTGAGTTAGTAAATTTAGTAGAGGTAATAGCCTAGTAGAAGGTGCGCCACAATTCGACTTTGATGTTATCTTTCATTTTATTAAAAGAACAAAAATGAGTAAAAAAAGGCAAGCAGTGAACAGAGGCCACAATCATGGTTTGGAAAGTTCGTTCGTAGAAGTTCAAGGAATAATCAAGGTATAAAAAGATATATTGAACTATTTATTAAACTATATTACGGATTGTTTATATCTTGCTTAGTTTTCAAATTATTTCGACTGAACAAAGTGAGTTGTTCGTCATTTTGCATTATTGAAGATATGCATGTTACGTCAAGAGATCGATGGGTCACGCTAATCAAAACCATAGTTAATGAGGTCAAGAATTAGTCCAAGACAGCTCATTAATTAGTTTCGGTCTAATTCGTCTAAATATTTCGAGAACTATAAGCAAGATATGACACAACCTCGTACCCAGAGCTAGCTTACGTCGCTGCCTTCCAGCCTAGTCCCTAGGCCTCTTAGTACGCCTATTTCGCGTTTCTGCATATTAATTAATCTCGTTCCCCGAGCCTGCGATCCTCGGGAAGGAACGCGAGGCTCTGGGATAATCCGTTTCAGGAAGGAATCTGATTGGCCGTTGAAATGGATGCGTAGTTCAATCTTAGCCGGAATTCCTGGCTTCCGGCAACGGATTATCCCAGAGCCTCGCGTTCCTTCCCGAGGATCGCAGGCTCGGGGAACGAGATTGCATATTAATGAGTTGACGGCTTCGCTCGGTGACGTCATGGAAATCAAAGCGTGCACAGAGGACTTGGGACTAGTCTGCTGCCTTCAATTCGCGGCTAGCCCTGGGTACGAGGTTGGAGCTCATTATTTATTGCACAGGGGGGATTGAGGAGAAACTGGGGGGCCTTTAATTTTTTTAAACCTGAAAGGGGGGGCTTTGAAAAAATACAGAGAGACGAAAGAAGGGGGGCTTTGAAAAGATTTACCAGTTTGAAAAAACATTAGTAGTTTTAAAAATGTATCACAAAACAACTTAATTATAGACCTTTAATATTCATAAATGGAAGCCAAATAAAAAGTCTCTTATGCAAAGTTTGCAAATTTTGTATACTTTTGTATTGCATGCGAAAATTGCAATACAAAAGTATACAAAATTTGCAAACTTTGGAAGGCTATATTTTCTACATTTTACTAATTTTAGTATACCCTTCCCAGGAATATAATGTATTATAATATAGCATTTGTAAATTATGAACGCTGATTGGCTAAGAGCCGTGTTGATATAACTCCATGTCAACACGGGAAATTTTCCGCCGCTTGTAACACGGAAATTGTTCTTATTCTTCGGGCTTTTGACATTGCTATATTATAAAACAAATATAAAAACATTTTTTCCGTATTGATATATAGTTATATCAACACTCGTGGAAGTTGGGAAAACTCGAAATTGTGTGAAAACACTCCGCCCTTCGGGCGTCGTGTTTCCACACAATTTCTCGTTTTCCCAATTTCCACTTGTGTTGATATAACTGTATATCAACACGGAAAATGTTTTATATTTGTTAAATATTAGTCTATAATGGAATTGTCTATTGGTCCCCATTATCTAGTTTGTTTCTTTAAATAAAGAGCTAGAGAGTTTTTGTTTCTCTAAATAAAGATAAAAAGCTAGAGGGGACCAAAATTTGTGTTCTTGTTTTGCCTGTGGGGGGGGGGGCTTTGAAAATTTCACTTGTCTTAATTAAGAGGGGCGCAACGAAAAAATATTATAACTGTAGAGTTTCTCCTCAGTCTCTCCCTGTACAATAAATAATGAGCAGTCCCTAACAGAGTTTAATATATAATTTTAAGAGTGCTTTTGATTGAGACAAACTAATTTTTATTGCCAATGTCCTTTACAGTAATCAAACAATTTGATAAAACGAATAAATAAATATGAGGCGCAAAGCGCGTCTTCGTAGTAATCTTATTCTTAAGCTCACTAAATACATAAATTATGCTAATTTAGTTTCTGATCGTGTGGTTCGTATTTCTTTGTAATCAATGATGATATAACTATGAACGAACTAACGAAGCCATGTTAAAATTGACAATTCAACGAATTCAATAGCAGGTGAAGTAAGTTCCGGTGACGTTTTGATCGACGTAATTCTTGGAATTCCATTGGGTCAAATGACCACTAACATACATCGGTTTCAACAAGAGCCACAGATTCAATATCAAACCTGAGAAGAGTTGTATTATTATAATACCATAAGATATATAAAGACTGTAACATTACAAATCTTCACCAAGATGACTTCTAAAGCTTCACACATCGACAGACCACTGACTGAGGCTACTTGTCTGACTGAAGTGGTTGAACATCTACAGCCATCGAGCGAAGGGGAAGCTGCTCTCAAAAGCTACATTGCTGCTGAACATCAACCTATCCACATTGAAAATAACTCTCGTTTCATCAACATTACCGCTGGTGGTAAATGTAACAGCGATGCGCCAGAAGCCTCGGATGTCACTGCGCTTAGTACGCAACTGACAAATATAAACATTAACATTATTAACAATTTTGGTATCATTATAATTTCCTATAATGGTCAGTTCAATCTGGACGTGAAGCCTAATGATACAATTGAGGAAGTAAAATCGAAGATACAGGGCCAAGAAGGCATCCCTACTGCCGAACAACGGCTTATCTTTGCCGGGAAACAACTTGAAGATCACCAATCGCTGTCAAACTATAATATTGAAAATGGATCAACTGTTCAATTGGTATTCCGACTTCGTGGAGGATTGATCCAAGTCTTCATTAAAACTCCTCAAGGTTCAACGCTGGACATACACTGCGACTATGAAAACACAATCGAAGAATTAAAAGAAAATATCTGTCAAAAGGGCTATTCGCAGTATACGCCGGATCAACTACGACTAATATTTGCTGGGAAGCAGCTAGAAGATGGTCGAACCCTAGCAGACTATAACATTCAGAAGGAATCAACTATTCATATGACGTACAGGTTTAGAGGAGGTGGTATAACAATCATCGTTACAACATCACTGGGACAGACTTTAACCATCCAATCCATTAACAGTTACAATTATACCATAAAAAAAGTGAAATTGAAAATCCAGAATGAAGGAGGGATCCCCAACGACAGGCAACAACTTGTATTTAACGGAAAAATATTGAAGGACAATAAAACTTTAGCTGACTACCAAATGAGCGATGTATATCCTATATCTATAACTTGTAATATTATTAATTAACGGCACGGATGAGAAAAAATACATTTTTTGAACAAACTTGCATACCTGCAGATGTAAAATTAAAGTACAAGGTTAAACCATGAAGTCTTCAGTACTTTAGTCTTTACATACAGCCAATCAGTTACTAAAAAACAGCTGAAGACTTATAACTATTGTCTATTGACATAGAGACTAGTAGTACATATTGACGCATGATACTGTATTACTGTTATTTTCGACTAGTGGAAGGCAAAAACATTTAATAAACATATGAAGGAACACGCGGGCAGAATAAAAGCCTATCTACAATTAGATTTAGTCTCGGTAAGTGGAGCAAAGTTTGATGCCTTATCTTTAAAATTATGTTTTTTATTGAAGATTTGAGGCCAAGTTTCAACACACAATCGGATTCAATAAAATCAAAACTATTTTAATTAATTTGAAATTTTTGGTTAGGGTGTTTTAGTTGTTTTTGGTAAGGTATAATAATTGTGTACTTATTATTGTTAGGAACGATTTATCAGTGACTTATATTTAGTATAAACATTAGTTATATTTCCCTATTTTCAATGCAGAGAATACTATTTTTTCTATAGACATGTAGATATTCTAGTCTTTCAATTTTGGAAAATACTATCTAATTACTAGTTAATTTACACTTGCAATTTTCTTTGCGATTTCTAATGCGATTTTCTTCTTCTGATGGATGTGAACGAGTAGGTGAGTTATTAATGTTCTGAGTAACCCTCATCCATTGAACTATAAATAAACTGGAAGGCTAACTGCTATGATAAAGGCCTATGATTTGATGAAGCCAAAATTTTCTGAGTTATGAGCAGAAATACTTGACCCCAAACGTTGGACTATATATCAAATTGAAGCTATTGAAAATTGCTATTCGGTGTGGAAATTTCAAGACTTCAGCGAAAAGAAAAATATTTAAAAAATACAAAAACAACTGCAAAACGGCAAATTATCGGTAATTATGTTTGTAGTTTTTCAATATTTCCCTTTTAGCTAAAGTCTTGAAATTTCTACACCAAATAGCATTTTTCAATAGCTTCAATTTGATATATAGCCCAACGTTCAGTGTTGAGTATTTCTGCTCATAACTCAGAAAACTAAAATGCACTGGCTTCAAT